ACACCCACACCTCACACACCCACCGCACACCCCACACCCACACCCACACCACACACCCACACCCACCCTTCGATTCATCGCATTCATCGAGTCCCGTTCTCTTTGCAAATAAGTTTTCAATAGGTTCGATATTCAAAATTAGAAATCAAAAACTCTTAAGCAAATAACAAGCATAATGACTTTTTCGTTCTAAAAGAACGATATCTATTAGAATCAAAACACACTGAGAAGAACAGTTAATGATGGATACAACGAATGGTCCGTAGATAATGAGGCAATGTTGTTTTGACTTTTAGAGGACTTTACAATATTTCTAAAAAAAGAGAGACGTGCCAAGATAAAAAAAAATGGTTAAAGAACTTTTTGCTTTGAAAGTGTTTAAGTCTATTGAATAAAAACGATTTTATATTAATATGCAAAAAGAATGAAATAAAAAAGGGAAAGAAAATTGATACCGCAGTCTGTAGTATCTTTTTCCAGTCTTTTTGTCCTAACTCGACTTTGTTCAATTGTAATCTTTTTCTGATTGGACATATATATAAACACAAACAACACTCCGTAGTAAATGAAGTGAGTTGAGATTTATTTTTCTTATCAATCAACATGAAATAATCTGTTTTTACCTTCTTTTCGAATGTAAGTTACGCTGCCATTTTCTAACAGTTTGTAATTTCATCTTACGTTTCGATGCCCTCTACTCAGAATTAATGCTTGTTTAGTTTGCTAGTTAATGAATTAATTGTTTCTTTTTCTATGCCAAACATGTTGTTTGTCTGTCTAATCAACGCTTTAGCATCAACTCAACTTTTTTCTCCAACCTAGGAATTCACATTGAAGATTCGAGTTCATTTTGTGAAACACTCTCAGTTCCTCAATCAAGAGTTGTTGTTGACGTCCGAATCAACATTAACCTTCAGGTTTGATGATTAGCATCAGTTTATTATATGAAGGAACAATGCAGCCATTTAAACCTCTTTTTTTATAGTAAGATACATGTTTTTTGGTCATCATATTTCTACTGTTGTAGAACAGAAATTTTTGTATCTTTTTGTTGTCGAATGATTTTTCTAGAAATATTTTAAAGTCTTCGAAAAGACGAAGCAATAGTTGTTTTTCGGTCTCTATTGATCTTACGCTATGTTTATATTATTCACTATATTTCTTCATGATATGCAGGACTTCATGTGATATAAAACATTCCTACATAAATGGGAACAATTCGTGTTTTGGTTGATCCGATTTTTCACTACTGTTGAGCATACTGTGGTCCTGTTAACAGATTTTTCCAAAGCTATCATCCATCTTTCATATTATTGCGTTAATGACTAGCATTCTTATTTAGATACTCAACAACTTGAAACATCCACCGTCTTGAAGAAGTCTCGTTGTGAAGGTCGTTCTTGTGCAAAATGTCACAAATGTCTTGATTGGCATTTTTCTGGTGATCAGAACACTTGGGATTGGTTATGCAATTGGGAGAAATGGCAAGATACAGATTGGCATCGTTGGTATAAGGAACGCAGCAAGATGTTCACCAAGCGTAACGATGCAATATGTGTGTTTCATCTTGGTGGTGCTCGTTATTCCCATTCTTGTTATGCTGCTTCTCGTCGTGCTTCTTGTTTTGAACACTTGTGCCTATGTGAGCGTCATTGATATCAATATAAGTTTCAATAAATTAGATAAAAAATCCGAATATAGATGTGTGCTAACTGTTCATCAACACTCACATCTGCAAAGTTCATTTACAAAAAAACAAAACTTTTACTCGAGATACAAATATAAGACTCGACAAGCATCAATGAGACATTGGAACAACTCTTTTCAAGTTAAAATAAGCTCTGATTTTCCATAGCAGCATTAGTATATGTAGAACAAAGAAAACGTAGGCTAATCATTAATTTACTATTCAGACTTAAACTACACGATAGAATCTGTAAAACACTGTCATGCTCCTGTACTGTATAAGTACAATAGATTGGAACACATAGTCAATAATAAGCCGCATGTGACTAATTTCTATGCTACTCTTTGACAAAGAGTGCATTCACTAGAAAGATTTAAAGTATTATATGGCGCGATTCGATTAGGTATGTATCAAAATCTAAATTATGAATTCTAAAATGTTGTTCTCAGTATAGAATTCCTATTAATGAGATTATCTTTAGTTAAATTTTGTATTTGGTATAAGTTTGGATGCGTTAACAAAGAAATGTGATTTTGTAACAATAAACCTTTGATATTGTTCTATAAACCATTTTATCTTAGTTATCTGAAAATCTAGTTTTAATAAAATATGATGAATCAATATAAAGTGGATATTTTCTAAAACTCACAGAAGTACAATTACCATCATGCTGTTCCGAGAGCTTTTCACGTGTTAAACTTTAAAATACAAGTTGATAAAAATAATTTTAATAAAGTAACTGGGATGTTGATGTGTCGAATGAATGTGAATGGAGTTTAGGATATGAATGAAAAAAAGACTAACATTCACACTCACACTTACACCCTTATCTCGATATAACCTTACAAAATAACAACTATTAATTATTCTCAACAATTAATGAATTGTAAGATTTATAAGAAACATGTTGAATTTTCTTGTGTCCATCAATTCAAATATAACTGCTAAATAAGTCTATCATCTTATCGTGAAACTTTGAATGATAAGCTATACGATTTATTATTGCATAAACATTCTTGATTTTCATATTTTATGATTAAGAATGTACTCGTGGATGTTGTACACAGATTTCTATGCTGATTATTGTAAATGCGAAGACAATCTCTACACTGATAAAACAATCATTTTCGGTGACAAACAACAAATTGGATTTAGGTGGAAGAAGTTTCTTTTTCAGACAATTTTTTTGGAAGCCCATTAAAAAAATAAAGTGCAAGACTTTTTTTTCTATAAACAATTAACTTTTTTCATAGAGAACTTTTGAATGAAGAAAATCGCTTTTTGATAGCTACTTATTTTTCAAATGTATTATCCCGACATTTTTGCTACTCATTCTATTTTGAAATAAATCATAAACATGAATTTTCTACAACTATAATTCAGAAAAAACTGCAGTATTAGAACATTTTTTATTATGGTCATTTTAGAGGTAGTATAAGAAACAACATAAAACTGTGACAGGAGGGAAAACCTACATTACATGGACACGTAGGCATTTATTTTGAAAAAAACACGCTTATTGCTGAACTGACATGGATGTGCTTTGTTATCTTCATCCAAAGCCAGACATTCACGGAAACAAAGCAAATCTATGTTGAAGCTAAAAAATTAAAAATTAAATTTATTCTTAGTATAGTAATTATTGTTATCTAAATTGAAACTGAACACTTAGAGGGTAGGTGTGGGTGTGTGGGTGTGGTGTGTGAGTGTGGGGTGTGGGTGGGTGTGCGGGTGTGGTGTGTGAGTGTGGGGTGTGGGTTGGTGTGGGGGTGGGTATGGGTGCCGGTGTATACCTCTGTCGACAACCAGACCATCACCCACAGTCCACCCACACCCACACCCTTTTATGTTTTATTGGATCAAATAGGAAGGAAATTATATTTTTTCGAAATTAATAAAATGTTCTTCTAGTTTAAACTTAAATTTTATTCAGAAAAAAAGCTACCAATTAATTGTAAGAATAAGGTTGTTAGTCACTAAACTGTGTAAATGTCGCATAATTTCGTATTAGAAAAAGTCGTCTACATCATCCACAAAATCGAATTCTTTAAAGTGACGAAATAAAAATCAAAGTACAATTTTACTGTGTTTATTTCTGAATTATCAGGGCATGAAATAAAAAAGGTTCTATTGTATGTACTCGAAGAAATAGTTGTTATAAGAAACTTCTGAACTCGATGACTCCAATCATCATCAACAAACATATTTCCATCAGTATCAAAATTTATAGCTGTTGGATTATATAATTGATTAGATGCTAAACCAGAACTAGCAGAATAACCTACTAAACAACGAAATCCGTTTGGTTCTGACGCAACAATACGATGATTGCCACAATCAGCAATGAACATATAACCATCAGCATCAAGAACAAGTCCATTGGGACAGTCGAGATTAATAGTTCCTATTGCTCCGGTTCCTGCTACTGTTGTTCCATTTATTTGATATGATGGAAATACTTGAATCCGATTATACCACAATTTGCAACATATAAATCCAAATTAATATCAACATATATTCTACGAGGATAATAAAGTGTATTCGATGATCCACCAGTGCCATTTCCTGCAGCCACTGTCCATGTACTTGAATTAGTAATCAATTATTTTGTAACAACTTGATGCGCATTATACAATGAACGATAAATATAAGACTTAATATCTACAAAAAGACCCCAGCAAATGTTCGGAACATACATAACTGAAACACTATTTGTTGTATTTAATGCCTATTTATCTACTCGATTATTTGCATAACCATTATCAATATAAATATCACCATTAATTATAACGAAGATAGCATATGGAGCGTTTAAATTACCAGAAATAGTTCTTGTAGGTATACTACTACCTTCGTGCCATACTTAAACACGATGTAAGCAACTCTCACATACGTAAAGAGTATTATGAATGTCAACAAATAGACTATAAGGATATGTATTACCAGCGAAGCTTGCAATGGTTATTCAATTGAAACTCCAAGAAGTATAGGCAGTGAATTTTGGTAAATTGTATGAAAGAACTATAAAAATATAGATATCAATTTCATCTTTATATCAAAGTAAAAATGAATTCATTTTATATTCTTCTTTTTTAATTTATTTCTGCTATTCTATTGAAAAATTTTGATCAATAATCGAAACATGAAAAAAGTAGAATTTATATCTTTTTTTTTAAATTATTATACATATGTTTTGAAGGAGATATAGTTGTAGAACTTGTGTCAAAAGCAAATGTTGTTAAAGGAACCGTTTGAGTACTATTCATTGCAGTTATTACTAAAAAAATTCATAAGCTATTAGTAATACAAAAAGTAAGAAAGAAAATATTTGAAAATATCAGTAGTCATCAGTGTTCGACATGAGGTCGCTATATTCAACGTGATTTGACCCGAGTCGGGTCAAAATTACGTTGATAGTAGCGACCTCATGTCGAACACTGGTAGTCATAGGTGTTACCGTTGTCGTAACATCTGTAAAAAAATATTATTTTATTTAATAAAACAAACTTATGTTTACTCTTGATATACATATAAAAATAATTTCAATAAAAAAACGTTTATTTAAAATATTTTTGAATTAAAACTACAATTCGTAGATTATTAGTGATGCACTGTTTTGAACATGATAGAACTAATTTTTACTTACTATATGAGTTTGTTGCCAAAAGAAACTCTTAAATTCTATTTCTCGCTATACTGAACGAAGTAAAAAATATGTGAAATATTTCTTTGTTTTCCATATCTCTTGGATTAAACAAACCATAAAAGCTATATTCTTTTTGTCAAAAAATGTTACTTAAAAATTCCTACAAAACGTTTATGAAAATAAAGAGAAAAAATTCGAGAAGAAAAAAGAAATGCGACGATAAAAGAAGAAACAAGAAGAGTGTTTCAGATAATTTGATCTAATATTTTCAAAAAGGTTCATAATCATAATTAAACCATGCCGTCGCAGTTTGTTAGAAAATTTTTTTCCATATAGTTTTTTTGGAATTTCTCAAGCCGCATCTTTTGGAGAATGAGTTAAGATTTTATGACTTGCTTGAGCAAAGATAATCGTAAAATAATCTATGTTATCACATTTTGACATATATGGTGTTAAGATTCTACAGAATAAATCACTATGTTTCTTTCTAACAAAAAACTTTTTCAAAAAACAAAGCTCTTCTTTTGAACCACAACTTCTAGCGGTTCTAATGATGTGTGATTGCGGACCCTATCTCTTGATAGAAAAAGCTGAATAGCTTTAGAAAATGATGCACTGATATCTTCGAAAAACGATATTTTACCACATTGAATGATTCTCCTTATATCTCGAGTATCATCAATATATCATACTTGAATATCATCAGAAATAGATTTCTTAGATGCAGTTTTTTATGGTAAATCTCACGAACTCACTTTCAACCCAACTAGAAAGCGTGTAGGTTAAGAAAAGTCATTGACTTCCTAAGAATTGAATGGTGCCTAAATCATTTTATCCAAAAAACATCACTTATAGACTATATTAGAAAAATGCATTTTTTGTCTTGGTCAAACTTCATATTCATAATCAGCACGTGAACATCTATCGATTCATGTATAAAGCAAGAAAAAATTTCAGCTTTAATTTTACATTATTTGCATCTTGCTAACCGATATAAATATCAATTGGTATAAATAGAAAATAAACATACCAAAGGTATTTTTACCAGTATTTGACTTTCTCTTTGTTATATAGTTTCATTCTGGAAAAATACCGTCTGCCTAAAGTTTTACTTTACTTAGTATGGCAATGTTCTTTTCAACAATAAAATAATTCTGTAAGTTTGAAATCGAAAATACAAAATAATGATATTTGACTTTTACTCTTCTTACATCGAATAGCATTGAATAAAAAAATTATGGATTTTTCTTCGGTCTGGAAACCATATAAAGTAACAGTAACCCACCAGTATACAACTATTCTGATGTTCGTTTCTCAAACTCTCGTCTCTTTTACATTTGAGATGAATTTATTCTCGTCTAGTTTAATTATAACTCAAGCTTTCTCAAAGATAGTAATCGTAAAAAGAGGTAAATTAAGTGAATATTGTGTTGTAGAAAGACACTACTCTCTAATAGCTTATTAATAAAGCTCTTAAATAGGTAGAAAACACTTAATGATTGTCGAAATGGTAATGTTATATATGCCCCATAATATCTAGATAAATTCATCGTAAGTGAAGGTCATCTTGTTGAGTTATGGTTAAAGCAGACAAGAATAAATCCATCTCAGATGCAATTATTACCTTTGAACATAAGTTCTGCACTATTTTTAGTTTTTTAGAGGGGTTCTAGACCTTATATCTTGTAACTATGAGGATGTAAGTCTGAAAATTTTAGTATAGACAGAACTCATAAAACTCTATCGATTCTGAGAATTTCAGACTTATATTTCTTCATAGTCACGAAATCTAAGGCCTAAACATTCCCTAAAAAAACCAAAACAAATCTGCAGAATGTATGTTTCAACGTAATGGATTTCATTGAAAAATATTGTTTGAATATTTTATACTATTTCCAGACCGAGAAGAAATTCATGTGATTTTTCGACCAGATCCTTTATGAGTATAAGGAACGTTTCAATTTATGTCTCGAATGCATACATACTTTGACAAAAACTGGCTATAAAGAATTTAGTCTTACCCTCCTTCATTATTTTTTCTTATGTTCTAGTTATTAGCATCATGTACATTTCGCTATATGTTTTTTTTGTCGTACTGTGAAATCCTTCAACAGACTTCAAGGCTCATGACGACTACCATTTCGCTGTTAGTTTCGTCCGCGAAATAGTATCATGTGATGACATTGGCGTGTTGTGGTATACAAGGTAGAGGGAAGATTTACTTATCCAGAACAATGATTCCGACTTCAGTGACTTTCTGATCGAACAGCTCAAAAAAATGGTTGTATTTTGGCAGGAGGGCGACAATACTCGTGTCCAGTGATTGATTACAGCATGATATTCATCTTGGAAAAGTAAATATGGCTACAATTGTTTTTTCCAAGCTCTATGACCAACAATGATAATGGGCACTCGCTCATCGCAGTTTTCTTCTTATTGAGACAAATAGGACGGTTTTGTCGTGAACATGCATTTCTTATAAAAGATATTCATACAAAATATTAGAAACCTATATCTTCTAACAAGTGGATTGAAAAGTTAATTAAATCGTTACCTGCTGTTTATCCAATGATTGACAGAAGCAGCAATACTGTCCAACAACTAATGTATATCATTTTGAATAACTAAAATACATTTCTTTTTCTAAAAGTTCATTAATAGTATACGAAAATTAAACAAAAGGCCAGAGGAAATTCTCACTGAACTTGTTGGTATAGTTCATCTATTTCAAAAGTTAAAAAGCTTCAATCAGTTTTTTATTTTCATTTCAAAGTAAGGCAACTTTATTAAATTTCGTGTGATTTTTCGTGAAAACTCTTTCATGTTGATCCTAATAAATAGTGAATCTTTCCAATGCAATAGACTAAGGTTGTTGAAATCTAATAGTGAAATTCCTTTACCTTTGTTATATGACGAAATGTACCAGTTTGATTGAAGCACTTTTATTTATCTGCAATATTTTCATATAAGAAATAATTATAAGTTAAAATGATTATTTAAATGAATCAATCAATTTGAAGTGATTCTAAGATTAAAGTACCTCTACTTCTCTCATCTAAAATATAAACTGTAAAAAAATACTTTCCAGAGAATTGAATCTACTTTTTCTATACAGGGTCGGAAAGAATATTATTCAAGGGGGGTAACGATATAATCCCGAATAGGAGGTATGATGAATTTTATACAAAATGAAAGCCCGTGAAAAATGGGGTTTATTGATGCTAAATAGTA